GACGTTGCGATCATCACGTCTCATCTGTCCCGAATGTGTTATCAGACTTCAGAGACAAAGTCTCCTCAAGGTTTTCTAACCACATCGACGTGGACCTTTTTTGGTTGCCGTCTGACTTTTCTGAAGATTGCGATATACGTCTACCGAAATGAACGAAAAAACATAATCGAGAAAACGCACCGTCCTCTCGAGGCGCCAGAAACGGTGCGGTTGTGTTTTGAGAAATGTTGTGTGCCACAAAAGTTCCTGTATGTCGTTTCATTGCCATGGGATGTGAGAAACAAATTTCGAAATGCAGCTCAAGATCATTGTGCTTCCGATCCGTGTGGTGTAGGTACTATATTGCTTCATGCGCTTCGCCAATAGACAAGCATCATTTTCGTGAACATGATGGTTACCATGCTCTCTCCTCAGGGACCCCTACCCACGGTGCCGCATGCCGGCATGGCCTAGGTACGCGGGAAAAGCGTCCGAAGTCCTGTAGCATCCAATGCACCTCTCCTTCGCTTGATGAAACTAATCCACCCCCGTATTGCGCTGCAAATAGCCCTTGTGAATAGAGACGGGATCACCGATGTCTTGCTCGCTTACAGGTTCTCACAGCAGGCTTGCTGTCTGAATCTCATCTGGGCCCTGGTCTGTCAGCTTCAAGCTCCTCAGGGATAGGCGTGAGAAGCCCTCCAGGAACGCGAAAGGGGCTAAGGAACCTGACCATCGACACGCATTTAGACACTGCTCCGTAAAAGAGACCCAGATTCCTGTTTGTGATTGGAAGACGGCGTAAATGGCCGAAGCCTCGAAGCTTCGTCGTGGAGGATTCATGTACAATTACCAGTGACCCTTTGTCTTACACTCGATCTCGCTATTACTCACATGGATTACATTTCTTTCGGATGCTGATCTTAGTTGCTACATTTAACCTGCAAATCACTTGGTCATGGTAGTTGCAAAATCCGATTTCGACATCAAATGCGTCGATGACACTCGTCTCGCTTTCACCATCAACTCAATCGGTGCCATTGCAAACTTCGCTTCTTACGTCGCACATTGTCTCGTGCTCTGAGCATGTCCGACATGAAGGGAGTTATGCTAGACTCTATTCAAGAATTGGGCCCCGTTTATTCAAGCTCGATGATTCCGGTCACTACAAAGAGGGGTTTGATGGAGTGAGTTTCCATTTCATTCTCGTGCTGAGAAGCGTGTGTTTCAATAGTAGTACATCAATCGACTCATTCCTCTCTCCGTTGTTTCTCAGTCAACTGACTTTGACGTGACGAATCTTTAGAGACGATTGACATTCTACAAGCTGCCCTTACATGCAGTTAATCAACCTTGACGGCAAGCTCAAAATTAAACTTGCGATCTAGAAGTTTCTACAGGGCGACAAAAAACCTCTTTTCGATTCCTCCACAGGCTTCAGCCAGCCCTGAGCCTCTGGTTAAACTGTTGTTCTCTTTACAGCTCGATAAGAAAACTGACCATCATCTTAGTTTCATCGATCTGTGCCAATCCATGCGTATGTCGAAAGACCCTCTCGATTATTACCAAGTAGCCTAATATGTCACGTGTTGGTGGAGAGCCAGACCGACAAGTTACAACACATCTTTGTCACAAAAGGCCGGCCCACTCAATGTGGGCAGCATTAACCACATCCATATCTCGTGACAATCTTTCATCTCGGAGCTGCATTCATAAAAGATATAATCGCTTCCTCAAGATCTGCTCAAGCCCGAAATTGAGGTCATATCGCAGTTCACGGGCGAAGGCTTCTAGCGTGTAAGTCAACTCGACTTGCTTGACGAGGAAGTTGACAAGCACCCCCACACACCAGAGTTCAGACTAGAATTAGAGCTGAAAGCGAGCAGCAACATCGCAATGGCCCCGAATCTGCGATGTTGAATAGATGCTGCGGAAAATCTTGAACTAGATACATCAACTCTGTAAGATATTACTTATACCGATGCTAACCGGCAGGAACACTTTTAAAAGCAAGCATGGGCTTAAAAAGACTGGCAAGTTTTGAACTAATACAGGTAGCTCTGGAACCTGGGCCTCGGCTTATCTTGCGGGGAACTGTGCCAGGCATTTGGCGGGGTTTGTTGGTGCTTCGTGGCTTGAGGAGCTAAGCTTTTGGGGAAAGCTGGTACCAGTCAGCGTCTTGAATTATAACGATTCGTCGAGTGATTTCTCAGTCATCTTTAGGTTTGACCACTCATAGCTCCTTACCTGTCCTTACGGACATAGATATCATTGTAGACAACGAGGTGTCTTTCTATTGTAGATGTGAAGGTGCCAGACTCAGCGTTATATTGTACGGATAGACGGGAATGTTTTACCGAAACATGCAAGTCATCTGTACTTGCAGGGCCCACAAATCTCGCTATGACATAGCTCTCGACCTGAGATGAGGGGAAAACCAAGGGACGTTGAAAAGGGAAGCTTGACCAAGTCTCAGTGCATGTGGATATGAGGGGTCAAGCTTACCTGGGTATTTCATCCTTCCATCACCTCCATAGACCTTACCACTGGCCCCCAAAGCGCCTTAAACATGACTCAAGTTCGCAAACCCTCAAGCGTCAAGCTCGCGGAGTATCTTTTCACTCGCTTACACGATCTCGGCATAGGTGCCATCCACGGTGTTCCAGGAGACTTCAACCTCACATTGCTCGACTATGTCGAACCCGCAGGGCTACTATGGGTCGGCAACGCCAACGAACTGAATGCAGGATACGCTGCCGATGGATATGCTCGTATCAAGGGCGTCGGGGCCCTCATCACGACATCCGGCGTTGGCGAGCTCTCAGCCATCAACGCTGTCGCTGGGGCGTATGCTGAACGCGCAGCCGTGGTTCACATCGTTGGCACGCCTTCTAGGGTCCTACAGGATAGCAGGACCTTGATGCATCACGGCTTCAATGATGGAAACTACAGACGGTTCGCGGAGATGCACTCTCACGTCACCGTTGCGCAGGCGAATCTCAGAGATGCATCTTCGGCACCGCGTCAAATTGACGAGGTACTGAGGCAGTGCCTGGCCCATAGCCGTCCGGTCTACATTGAAATTCCTCAGGATCTGGTTGCCGTACCGGTTTCGGCCGATAGGCTAGATAAACCGATTCAGCTTCCCGATGCTGTGCCAACATCGGCCGACGAGACTGCTCTCGCAGCAATCCTGGGCAAGATACACGCTGCGAAACATCCCATGATTATCGTCGATGGAGAGACGAGGCCGTTGGGTCTCGTCGAGCAGACCGAGAAGCTGGTGAAAGTGACGGGCTGGCCGACCTGGACTACTGCTTTCAGCAAGTCACTGGTCGACGAGAGTCTGCCAAATTACCACGGTATCTATACAGGTAGATTTGCCGATCCTGCCGTCAAGACGTTCGTCGAAAAGGCGGACTTGATCCTGTGCTTCGGTCCTCATTTCAGCTCGACAAACACTTATGCTTTCTCAAGCATACCCAAGCCGGATGTAACAATCCTCTTCAGCGACAACATCAAAGTGGCGGACCAAATGTACCGCGATGTCACCATTAGAGCGGTAATCATCTCCCTTCTCGGACAACTCGAAAAGTCCAAGATTCATCATTATGATCCTTACCCAGAACTTCCTAAAGACCACGGCATGACTTTCTCAGAGGTGGAGAGTGAGGAGAAGATAACTCAGTCCAAGTTTTGGCATCTCACGTCCAGTTTCCTGCGTCCAGGGGACATCATATTCGGAGAGACGGGAACGGCCGGCCATGGCTCTCGAGTCTTTGCCCTACCGCCCCATACTAGAATGTTCCTCCCGACAACTTGGCTTTCCATCGGATACATGCTTCCTGCTGCGCAAGGCGCGGCCTTAGCGCAGCGAGAACTGATCGAGTCATCCAAATACCACGAAATTCAGGAGGCACGCACGATTCTCTTCATCGGCGATGGTAGCTTCCAGATGACGGTTCAAGAGATCTCTACCATGGTGCGCCACAACCTTGACGTGATCATCGTCCTTCTTAACAATGACGGGTACACCATTGAACGATGCATACACGGGTTGGATCAGTCCTACAACGACGTCGCCCGCTGGCGCTACTTGCAGGCGCCGGGTTTCTTCGGAGGCAATCCAGAGACGTATACAGGCTCTGCAAAGACCTGGGGTGAGCTGGAGAAAGTGTTGAAGGATGATGAGCTGAAAGATGGGAAGGGCTTGAGGATGGTGGAGGTTTTCATGGACCTCGATGACGCGCCGGCGGGCGCCCTGCTTGAGTTACTCAAGAAGGAGAAGGAGAGAATTGCAGATGGTCAAGCATAGGCAGGGTAGTTGATAGACGATATGCGTATCAAGAAGAATTTCCAATTGGCCTTCGACATGCGATTAATTCCAAGAAGAGGGGGACGGCAAGCACAGAAAGTATAGTCTCAAGGATTGAAGTCGGCATATTGATCTATTCACGATACTCTCAGTTGGGGTTTCCATATGCCGCAGTAGATATGAGTTGCTATCAACAAAGAAGCACGATGTATATGGTATTTATTGTCGACGTTCATAGTTCGAGCTTCGGTTGTGCGGCTGAACGGCATGAGCACTTCATTATCTTCAGCTTTTCCAAGATAGTACTTAGCTACAAAGTGGCCTTTAGACAAGGCTTGTTGACGCCTTGGATACATAATTACGGAACATACCTTATATAGCTTTGTTTCCGAACTTCCGATGACAAGATGCGGGGTGATCGGCAGTTGCCAAAGTGATACAGAAAGACAGTGAAGACGGCCCGTGTGGGAGCGAATCTCGGAATCGGAAGCGTTGTTATTGAAGATGTTGGCTAATTGGCTAACGCGGAGAGGCCGAATGAACATTATCTTGCTAAAAGAACATCGTTGTACTTCTATCCCTACCTTTTCGCCTCCGGCGTCTCAAAATTCCGAGACAAGAAATTGAACAATTCAACTACCGAACCAGTGACCTTACCGAGTATTTCTCAACTTCACGGCAATTCCATCGTCATTTCATAGCAAAAATGGCCATTATTTCGGAAGTTGTTGCATCCGTCTCAGCTCATCTTCCCATTCTGATTGTGGGCATTTTGGCGATTCACCTGGTCCGAAACTTCGTAAGAAGAGGAGTTTCCAAGATACCAGGCCCGTTTTTAGCCAAGATCTCCAACATATGGAGGTTCGTTGATGTAGCGCGCGGAAGGGCTCATGCGACACACATCAAGCTCCATGCACGATACGGGCAGTACGTGAGACTTGGTCCAAATCTAGTCAGTGTCCAAAATCTCGAAGCCTTGAAGATAATTTATGGTGTAAACAAGGGATACCGCAAGGTTAGTTCGACATGCCATGGAGAATTCGTAGCGTTTGCTGAGAGACTTCTTCTAGACCGAGTTCTATGCGGTACAGCAGCAGCTGGCAAACGGCAAACCGACGCAAACCCTTTTTACGACCCTTGACGAAGACTTCCATGCGAAAATCAAGAGACCGATCTCAAGTCTTTATTCTATGAGTACACTGACCGAGTTCGAGCCCTTCGTTGATAGCACGATAGAAAAGCTGCTCGAGAAGTTGAGCGAGTTTGCCGATGCTGGACAGGAGTTGGATCTCGCGACATGGCTCCAGTATTGTAAGTGATACAGCCTAGTGACTCTGAATCACGCAGCTGACATCAATGCGTCTCAAACTAGATGCTTTCGATGTGATTGGGGAGTTGACCTTTGGCAAGCCGCTCGGTTTTCTCGAGCAAGGCCAAGACGTTGGTGACGTGATGCTTTCATTGGAAAAGATGGTTGACTATGCAGGAATGGTGAGTTTGATAAAGAGCAAAATGAGTAGTAAGTCGCTGATACACTATGTCTTCAGATTGGCCAGATACCTTGGTTGGATCACCTTTTCATCAAGAACCCGATCAAGCGCAAATTTGGTGGTGGGTCGACCGGAGCTGTCGCTCGATTCGCGCGTCAGTGTCTCGAGGAGCGTCTTCATCGCCCCGAGGGAAAAGTAGAAAATCCTTCCCACCGCGACTTCCTTACTCGCTTCTTGGAAACCAAAAATACGCACTCACAGGTTGTCGATGACCGTCAGGTCTTCTCATGGACACTCAGCAACGTCAACGCTGGGTCAGACACGACAGCAATCTCACTACGAGCGGTGCTCTATTACCTCCTTAAGAACCCCTGGACTCTGAAAAAAGTCATGAAAGAAATTATGGGGGCTAGGGAAAAAGGGAAATTGTCGATACCGGTGACATGGAAAGAGAGCCAAGAGCTGCCGTACCTGGATGCGGCTATCAAAGAAGCGCTCAGACTTCATCCCGCAGTCGGCCTGCTACTCGAAAGAATTGTTCCTAAAGCCGGAATACAGCTTCCTGATGGCCCATTCCTGCCAGAGGGCACCATTGTCGGTATCAACCCATGGGTCATGCATCGTCATCCTGCATTCGGCGATCATCTCGAGTCCTACGTGCCGGAGCGATGGCTGCAAGGCGAACACGAACCTCTCAAAAGTTATGAAATTCGGAAGGCAGAGATGCAAGGAGCAACATTCACGTTCGGTGCCGGACCACGTACGTGTATCGGCAAGAATATCAGCTTGCTTGAGATCTATAAAGCGATCCCAACTCTTCTCTATACCTACGATGTAAGAAATACATCCAACTGGTAGAAATCAGACTAACAGCTCCACACCTCTAGATCAGCTTGAGCTATCCAGACAAGGAATGGGATACTGTGAACGCGTGGTTTGTAAGACAAAAGAACATCCATGTCAAGTTGGCCAAATCCGGCAGGAGTTGAGATTTGAAGATGCCAATCAACCGATGACTAAACTGACGTATTGGCCCTTAATGGCATTGGACATTGAATGAAATATCTTATAGTCTTCTGATTACAGATCGTTGTAGTGCTGGGAACGGAACTAGAGATTGATCATGTTGTATGATTATGTAATTATGTACAGGAAAAAAATGTCATCCCGTCGGTTTCTTTGGTGTTGCAATGAAGATCAGTTGCTTTTGCTCGGAGGCCCCGCTACCACTGCCGTGCACTGAACAACGCAACATAGGGGGACAAGTGGGTAATTACCGATGGGATAGCCAGGTTTCAACTTAGGCGCGAGTCTTTCCACGCAGTGTGCAGAAGGCATTGTAGTAGTTATTCACATTGACCTCCTGATCAAGACGTCTGAGTTATCCTGCCACAACTGGGACCGATTCCTATCGCAAGTTTTCATCATTGACGATATCCATCCGAAGGTTTTCGATACACGCTTGTGTCTTTACGCGTTCGCCCAGCTTCTCAAGCGCATATTTCATCATGACAAACAAGCGTAAGAAGACTGGGTGTCTGGGTTGCAGAAGTAGGAAAAAGAAGTGCGATGAAAACCGTCCCGACTGTTACTTCTGTGTTGCGAAACAAATTGAATGTGTCTGGCCCGACATTTGGCAAGAAGTCAAGACGGCGCATGCACACAATGGTGGGTGCAGCTACCAATCTTATAGTAGAATAGTGTTCAAGATTTGAAGAAGCTGACTCTGAGTAGCGGTGGTCTCAAGTATCTCGAGGAGACGGCAACATAGGATCCAACACAGGGATTTTTCGACAGCCGATTTAGGTATTGTCTGTGAGCGCGTTTCCCATGTTCCCACAGGGATGGTAGATGAGATTGTGCCGGAGTCTGTCACTCAGCATATCTCGTCAGTAACGGCAGCCGATGATCATTCTAGTCTCGATGACCTGTTGTTGAGCGAACCGTTATCGTTGGAGAGGAGATTGCATCCGACTAGCTCTGTGGTTGCCTCTGAGTCCACCTCTGATGGCGCAACCCTCGCCTACACTATCAACGTATCGCCAACGATGCAGCATATCCCAATAATTCTGGATTCGACCCTGAGATCAGATACCGACGATTTTCAGCTACTGTTTCAGCACTTCGTCTTGCAGTCGATGCCATCTATGGCGCCTGATGACATTGACTTGGACCTCTTCCTCAAGTACACGATGCCTTTGGTCCTCGGCGACGATCTGGTTATGCGCGCAGCCCTCGCGCTTAGCAGCGCAAAGTATATGATGCGAGATCCAACGAGTAAAGCGCTACATCTGTCTAGGCTATGCCATTCCCAGGTTATGGATGCTATCAGAATACGGATCATTACTTGCAAAGCTGGGCTGGACGAGCGACCTGTGTTCCTATGTGCAGCTGCTATACTTATGGCTGTGCTAGAGTTAACGCTTGGCAGCACACAAAGTCACCATATAGACTTTGCCACCCATCTTATACTCAACATCCTTCCCTCGTCCGTTCGACAGATTGATCGAACTCTGCATAGATTCCTGCTTAGGGCGTGCATCTACATACAAGCTGAGACATGGGGGTGCGAGGGTCCCACTGGTTTGCCCTCGGACGTAGAGAAGCAGGTTGCGAATATGTTCCAACTCGCGGCCAAGCTTGAGGATCTGGACAACGAGGGAGGAATAAGAAGTCAGATCGGCTTGATTCAAACAGCCTTCGTCACAGGCCTGTTAGTTGTGCCGAAGCTCGCACGCCTTTCAGCATCAAGGGGGTGCATTGAAGACGACGTTGAACGCGCTATACAATTGGCAGCACTCGAGTCGCAGATCATGTCGTGGCAACCTCCTCCTGGTTCTGAAGCAAGTGATAACGTCCGGAGAGTCTGGGGTCTATGGCGGACAGGTCTTCTGGTACATCTTTACACATCCCCGGTGGCACAAGAAGTTTACCAGACGTGGTGGAGAGAGAAGAGCAACGCGTGCATGAGCGAATTCATTCGGAGACTCAAAGATACGTCTCAGAATCCTAGAGGTCTCTCAGTGCTCTCATGGCCGCTGGTAATGGCAGGGTCATTTTCTCAGATCGTTTCGCATCAACGGTTGATTCGAGACACGTTATCATCTATCTCTGAGCGAACTGTTTCGAGGCTACCAGTAAAATTAGCGGAACGACTCGAAACAGGACAGCCGAATTCTCAAACCAGCTTAGTGGTATCGTAGAGACTATAGCTTTTCCTGAGACTATGGTGTCGAGACCAGTCTGGCTCTCGGTCAGACAATGCACAGATGGCACTGGAATCTGTCACATAGTCTAGGCATCAAAATGTATGATAGAGTTCTTTCATCTAGGCGTTACGGCATACCCCGTCGGCCGCGCGGGTCGTAACATCAACCTTGATATCATCACTGAAAACTTTAACAAATCGAGCGTTCAGATAATAAGTGGCACCATCGAAGAGTTTGCAGATGACCTTGATAGAATCAAATTGATTTCCTACAAAAGGCCGAACACCCACCCTCCCACTTCTTCTTCATCCATCATTGCTTGATCCCTCCCCTCTTCAAAGTCTGGCGGGGTTAGAGAAAGAGCCGTGATGTCCGGTATGCCCATGCTCCTTGAACAACATGCGGATGCGGCGCCTGCCTGTCAAAGGGTTCCGACAGGAGATGCGCAACAAGAAGAAGGGAATAGAAGAATATCCAGCATACTGGGGGGTATTGAAAGACATTTTTAGTCTTCTAGAGCGGGAGGCGGGTAACGATGACCGGTCAGCGCGGACACCAAAAAGCAGGAACGTCCTTCTTCAATGAGCTAACGGGGCGACATTGACGTAGCCTTAGGTATCTCAAGGAAGACACAAACTACTCAGTAGTCTCAGAAATATCCGGAACAAGATAAAGGACCATGAAGAATCTCATCTGCAGAACCAGCGAGCTAGAACGGAGCAAGTATGCAGTACGGCCGCAGAAACATCTGTCGGTTCTATAAATGCCAACCTTGATTCTTGCATTTCTCGCACAAGGGAAGAATACTTTAGGGGCCTAAAATTGAACGGTTGATAAGCTACTGGAGACAAAGTCGGAAGCAACATGCCACAATAACGCCGCAGCTCATTCAGGCGAGAGAAGAGAAAGACGACCAGAGAGTATCAGATTGGAAGCCCACCCACAACACATGGAGAGAGCATTCCGACCATCTCTAGGGTCTCTTTGTCAGAGAGGCAACCCACCAATACGTCTCTATAGTCTTCATGAGTTGCCGCCTGGGCATTCTTGGAATAGCTTAACTTTCCATCTCCCCAAGCCCAAGCTCGGGCAACTCCCTCATGATTCCTCTTTCATGACACATTCACATCTAACCACTGCACCCGGGGCAGCCGATGCGGCTCCCCGTCGCAACGAAAAATAATATTAAGAACGTTCACGGAAAAAATGCCTGTTGCTGGGATCAAGAATATGTAGCAACCGACATCAGTCACGCCACCTCATATACCGGCCCTCACGCACATACCCAGCCGCGTGTCTGAACATCTAGAGCAATTTAGATACCCAGATTCTCGGTTATCAACTCATTCACTCATCGTTTCACAAACAAAACCACGTTGCTGAAGTGGATGCCAACGTTCAAATCCCTGGCTGTGCGTATACCCTGACGACCTCCAAGACATACTAGGTGTACAAACAGCCTGTGTCATACGAAAGCCCTCCTTCCCCCTTAATTACGAGTCTTCCTGCGCGACCAAGACCACCACGCTTCGCCCTTGCGAAAAACATGTTGAAATATCACAGAAACTCGAAAGACCCTCGGAACTCACCCATCTATATCTCGCAACCTCAGGAGGCGCGAAGGCCTGTGTTCTCAACCAGAGAATTTAAGCTATCCGTCCCGACTGGAATATTGACATTGCCACTAGCCTATTCAGTGATCGGGCTTTCAAAAGATCGGCCGCATCAAACATGAAAGAGGACAGTAGAAGGGAAGCTAGTGTCAGGCCCGGGAGGACTTGAAATAGAACCTCTGGCGGCTCCATGCCGGCCAGGTTGCCCGCCATCATCCCCAGAACGCATGCGGAGACTATAACCCAATCATGATGTCGTTTGCCATTCGTGAGGATGGAGTAGCGGACGCTCATAGCGATGCCGTAGCAGGCGATGGCGACGATACCCGCCCACTTCCATTCGAGAGACCTTAATGCTCCTAACCGGCAACCCAAATCAACGATATAAGAAGAAGCCTCACAGCCAGTCGAAGTCTGCGTCGCGTCAGTATTTCTCGGCATTCTGCGGTCATGGCCTTACCTCTCCGCTCAGCGGTCGTCGCATGTCTGTTCCTGTCATCCTGGAAACTTGGTTCATCAGGATCGCCGCGGAGCCTGCAACAAACGTCGCGAACATATCGCAGCAGACGAGGCCGACAGTTTTATATGGTACTCGGCGCTTTGAGGGAGTCATATCCCCCGTCTCGAGCCAAACATGTTCGCAATTACAACAAGTCCAACCTAAGTCCACGAAAGGAAGTCTTGTGAATGATGACGTTGGCTGGTCTTGTGGATCACGTCCGTTTCTGTGAAGGAAACGTCAATCCTGAGTCTCGCTAGATTTCGATCCGCCGCAATCTACTCACTTTGTCGATGTTGCCCCCACTGCTTCAGGCTGCACTGTCGTCGCCCTTGTTGCCCCGCGCTTTGGCAGAGATCGGTCCAGCTGTGGAAAGGAAAGCTGCGTCTTCTGTGTCGCTACAGACATGTTATCTCTACTTGTCTGCGTTTCGTGGACTATCTTGTCAACTAGCCACTGTCTTTCGATTGCTGATGGAAGGAAATCAACTTCTCGTTTCGTCCACGATGCCCGGCCCAACAGAATCGCGAAGAGGCCCTGTCCTGACAGCCCTAGCGCTAGAAGCAAGGTCGACAGCGAGTTTTCGATCATCTTTGAAGTAATAAGCGTTTTCTTTGATGTCTGAGAGAGGTGAAGAAGCAAATGGGCGCCGGCAAAGATGTGATAGCGAAGTGATGGCACGGTGAGGCTGTGTCAGGATCTTCTCTTGTCATTGTGTAACCATCAGGCTCTGAGGCCTCCGCTCGTGGCGCCCAAACTGCAAAAAGGAGACAGCGCCACGCAACCATCTCAATAGATGCCGTATCCAATGGGACGAGGAACCGGAGTGACGTCGAAATTCTCTTGGCTCTCTCTGGGGCGGTGCATTACTTTTTCCATTTTGTCTACACACGTTCCTCGCACCACGGGCCCTACCAAGAGACAAATGCTCGCCCTCCTCGGGCGGTGAAAGTGACTTTCTTTTGGAACGCAATCCCTTCAGCACTCTACCGGTGGATTTCTCGTGTGCAACGAGGCCTGCTGAAGTACCACCGACTTGCAGTGTCTTGCGGCTTTCAATGTAGACGTTGGGAGTCCCACAGGGCGACAGCAAAGTTGTAGCACTCAGTGGCTATCATCTACCGACAACGACCCGAACAGCATCTCTAGACCAAGTCCGCTTTGCATCTGTCACCATCACCCTTCTTCCTCCTTTCTCAGAATCTCTCACTTCCACTCCATCCCTCTCTCTCCCCCTCCCCCCCCCCCCCCCCCCCCCCCCCCCCCCCCCCCCCCCTCCCCCCCCCCCCCCCCCCCCCCCTCTCCCCCTCCCCTCCTCTCCCCCCCCCCCTCCCCCCCCCCCCCCCCTCCCCCCCCCCCCCCCCCCCCCCCCCCCCCCCCCTCTCTCTCTCAAACTCTCTCTCTCTCTATCTCTCAAACTCGCTTCACCTCTCTGTCTCTCTACGTCAACCTCTCTCTTCCCTCCTGCCCTTGTTCTCATCTATCCATCTCTTGCCCGACAAGATCATCGCACCGCAACTCCATTGCGATCACACCCCTGGATCGAAAGCTAAACCCAGTCCACGAGCGATTCGAGCGCAGTCCGCGGCGGAAGTCTCTCGTCATGTCCCCGCTGGAGGACAGCTTCGGCCATACGCCAAAAGTCCACCTTCTCCCAGACAAGCCCGAGGGCTTCACTGGTATCCAGAGTCACGAACCAGGCAGTCTCGACATCACTAGTCCCCAGCGTATCGTCGACGGATGCGATGATTCTTCTGCCGACTGTAAGAGGATCTTCGAATATAACGAAGAAGGCCCCTACAAGCAGCCATCACTCCATGACGTGGAACAGTTTCCATCATGGACCATGATCATTCGCACATCTCCCCTTGTCAGTGGCGTCTCGCCGATACCCATCAGCGTGTCGGGACCACAGTGTGAGAATGGCATTGAACAAACTGCTCCATCACCGGGCGCCGTTGGCAAGCACGAAAACCCCATGACACACCTCGATCGCCTGCAACTAGATTCTGATGGGAGTGCTACCGCCGAGACCTTTCAGTACCAGTCTGCCCATGAACCCCCTACCTGTGCCCAGTCTCGGGTCCCATTCAAGGCGGAAGACAACCAATTCTTCTATTCGCCAGGCCAGCTCAACAAAATGTTGAACCCAAAGAGCCTGACGGCCTTCTATGCTCTCGGCGGATTCCGAGGTATTGAAAAGGGCCTCAAGACTGACTTGCGCTTTGGTCTCAGCGACAAAGATGTCAACATCCAGAGCCCTGTCGGCGTACATGAAGCCTCTGGGAAAGCAAAAAGTAATCTGGGGCAAGGCTACACCAACTCCGACGACTTGCAGTGTTGCAGGAGAGTATTCGGGGAAACCCGACGGTTGCCGCCGGAAGAGAAACTGCCGTTGAAGTTTATGCGGATGGTGCCGAGCGATAAGGCGCTGATACCTGTCACAATTATTGCGGCAATAACCTTCGGAATCGCCCCTTACCTCTTGCAACCGTTTGCCGCGAGCACTGGAGGGACTCTGACGTTCGAATGGGGCAAACATGTCGCCATCATGGCCGCAGTGCTCATCGTCATGGCTATCGGTGCCCTCGAGTGCCAGTTCCGCGAGTGGAGCCGCAAAAGGAATGATAGCGAGATCAAAGTCATCCGATCTGGAAAGCACACACTGATTCCAATTTACGACATACTTGTCGGCGACGTTCTTACATTGGAGCCTTACGATCTGGTCCCGGTTGACGGGATCTTCATCGGTGGATACAACGTCATATGCGGCGAATCCTGGGCTACCGGCAAGTCAGACTTTGTGAAGAAAATACCGGGCAAGATATTGGGCAACCATGGTGAAGACACAGGGATGGCCTACCTCGACCCCTTCATCATATCAGGAAGCAGGGTCCTCCAAGGCACTTGCACAGTCCTCGTGACGGCCGTCGGCCAACGGTCAAATATTAGACGGATCATGATGTCTATGAGGGATGATGAGAGTGCCGACACGCGTGCCTTGGCCCGGTTCATGTTCATGGCTAGCCAGCTAAGTAACTCCCTCTGTATCACCCTCGCCCTCGATACCAACCTTCTGCCTGAGATCTCGAGAAGGATCAACTGCTGTGTTGTCAGCTTGCTCTTTGTCCCAGTTCTCAATCTCGTCCGTTTCTGCATCGATATGTTTCAATCTGAGACTATCTTTGACACGGATGCTGTTAAACCGTCATTCTTCCTCCTACACACCAACACCAACTGTGATACGAGCTTCAGGTTGGAGCATTCTCTCGCCACAAATTTCCCGGAAGGGGCCATCACTGATTCAGATACATTGTCGATACTGGCGGACTCCATGCGGCACGGCCCCGCTTCTATGGGTACGGAATGGACTGGTATTGGCTCAAAACCAACAAATTCGAGTCCGGCCAGGCAACATCGAAGTCGTTCTTCTTTCAAACCAAGGCTCGCCGTAGGAATATTCCTCGCATGTTATGGTTTGCCGTTAACGGCCGCCGCTGTCAGAGTTGTTCGGGGCCTGCGCATCGCCTCAGGGTTCACATCCACCGTTTCAGGGGTCACCGTAATCCCTCTTCGCACTTCAGAGGGCTTTCCAGTCTGGTCATGGGAACTGTGAGCCTCCATGCCCACTTTCTGAACAAAGATTGCTGATAAATCTTCCCAGGACGTACGGTGTTTGGGCCACCGCTTTCTCGGTATACCTCTGGCAGCAAACTCGGCGCATCCCGCGCAACGCCAACCACCGGAGGCAACTGTAAGTTTTGACGCTTGATTTGGAAAACATCTGACAGCAGTTAATTTGACTCTAGCTACTTGTTCTGCGTTATTATGGCGGCCGGGCACTTCACTACGGCTATGTCTCAGGCTTCAGGGGCGCCCCCCTTACCAGACACCTTTACCTTGTACGGCCCGATCGTCCTGACATTCTGTGCCTATTCCTTTTTCCTAGTTTATGAAGCCGTCTTCCATGAAGTCCCAAAGGGCGCCGAACTTTTTGATAGAGAGGCTTCTCCAACTCCTGACGGCAACAGCGTGGCCACCGTTACCTTAGGCAGACAGCCCGACCAGACGGCCCTCGCTATCAGTGTCGCCGCTATGGTTGGGGTTCCTCCAGAGGTAGCATCGTCCTAATACCAGCAGGCCGACCAGGTCTAGCACTACGGCTATGTGTTTGGTATTTCATTGTCTGACGCTAATCTGGTGTATAATTCACGGCCTCTTGAAGGAGATACTATCATTGTTTTATATCTACGTACTGTTGGCACTTTTCTTTTAATTCATCTTGATAGCTATTTAAGAATTGGGGATGGATTGATCGCAGGCTACCGCCATCGCCGGCATACAGCCATGCGCGCTTATTCGAAAACAACCTTGGCCAAGCGATATAAAATAGGGGCACTGAATATAGGAGTGCCCATTTCGTGAGAGAATCGATGACGATGAGAAGTACTTTGATGGCCTCTGGGGCCTAGGTACCTAACAGTACCTGATTAGCGTGTCGAGCTGGACACGCCATAGGGAACAAGCTGGCTCACGACAAACGTTTTTGGTTTTCTTGCACTAGACATGGTCCTGCATTTTGCCTGAGGGTTGTGTTCGTAACTAAATTCCAAATAAACACTTGATACTTCACTCAGAAGTCAGTATCTTGTTTTCTGTCCGTGACAGGGGATAAAATTGGGATCCTTGATGGCACACCGCTTTCGTAAAGTACAACAAATATGTTCCATTGGAGAACTTCCTAATCACGAGCTTTTCAGCACTATGTGTGGCCGAGCCCCGCTTGCACTGCGGCTGGGCGGCAAGTTGACTAACCCCAACAAGTCATCCGCTGCGGGTGGGGTGACCAATCAACTCTCACCTCACGCTTGGAATTGTGTTCTCACAGTCAACAACGCCGCTCCATTCACATCGATTCATCAAGTACCTTAATTTAGCATCCTTCCTACAATTGAACATCGATAATGACGAAATTACAAGGCAGTGAATCTCAGAGCCTTCAAAGCTTTCTGCCTCTGATCAACAAAGTCGACAAGTTGAGTGACCCAATTACTAAAATCCCCCTCATGAATCGGGTTTCTAACAGCCTTCCAGCGTCCCTCTGGACTTTGACTTCAACAATCTCTACAAGCTCTTTCTACCAAATGACTCTAGGCCCCATGGCTTCATGGTCCAAAGCACCGTAGAGCGTCTGCCGTGGACTGTGGACTTCCACGTCGACCACGACAAGCGTGTAGTGCAGTTGCTCAACACAACGACCAAAGATGACGAGGACCCGGGCAAGACACGCACAGCTGCCTTCCAGCGCGTCGTCGATGCCGCCATTGCATCTGAATATTTCCCCTCATTGAACAAGATCCACAGCGAGCATTTCAGAATCATTGGCGCGAACCACTTTGTGTCGATTGAGCGATTTCCAGCACCTCTGTTCGGCATCTCGTCGCGCGGGGCACACATGACGGCCTATGTTAGAACGAGCGAAGGGATGAAGATCTGGGTACCGAGAAGAAGCGCACACCTCTTCACTTTCCCGAACCTACTTGATACTACTGTCGCGGGCGGCGTCAAGGCCGAGGACTCACCCTTCGACTGCATCATCGCCGAGGCGACGGAGGAGGCGTCGCTGCCCGCGGACTTTGTCAAGGAGAATGCTCGAGCTGTTGGAGCGGTAACGTACTGCAGCTTGAACAAGCAAAGGGGGACATTTTTCCCGACTGTTCTCTACGTCTACGATCTTGAGCTGCCTGAGTCGATCGAGCCTCAGCCGGGCGATGATGAGGTTTCCGGGTTTGAGCTGATGACGATTGACCAGGTCAAGGATGCCATGTTGGGTGAGCAATTCAAGCCAAATTGCGTTCTGGTCATGCTCGACTTTTTTATCCGCCACAACATCATGAACTCTGAAAATAATGATGAGTATCTGGAGATTGTCACTAGGATGCGGCGACATCTCCCGGTACCAACCAGTCCAGAACGAAGAGATTAGATGATAGATCGTGAGTCCGCCGAACATTCAGCGAGCTTGCCCAGGTAGAATATATGGTTTACATGGATGCTAGGCTCGATTCACTGTAGACGATTCGTCAGAATAGAAAATGAGAAATCAGAGGCTTTGGGCTACTTGTGGTGCTGAGGGTGTGAAAAGTGGCAACATTTGATACCTTGAGTTCAACGGATTATAGCCATGCCGAAGGCCATAATGGGGTCATTGAACATCACCAAAGTCTCTGGTATTGTATCAAATTGTCGTTTACTTATGATCAATACAGCGACTAAAATATACAGACAGCAGGAACTCGTCCTCTCAACCCCACTTTGTAGTCGTTTACTCAGACTAAGGTATGAACCAACAGAATGTGGTTTTTTATTCATTTTGTACCTTGGGAGGACTAAAGGCAGGAACCGGGTCTTACAGTTGTTATGGTCTAAAGCTTCTTGCAAAGTCTCGTGTTATACTCGATCTCTTCCCAGTCCTCTGTACCAGGAGTCGCAACGGCATAGAAGATGCCGTTGGGGTCCCACTTCTTGCGCAAGTCAAGCAGCGTAGGGTAGACCGGGCCCCAGAAAGCGTCTTGCCAATTAGGTTGGAAGGGATCAGCCTGGTGACATGTTTAGTCAATCGTCGTCCTACTTTAACTCAGTTCAGCAGGGCTCACCTCGTTTACGTAAGTACATCCATCAGGACCAGCTTGTCTCAAAGCCTCATCCTGGATATTGGTCAAAACGTCTTGCAGGTCAGCCTTCTGTTCAAGACTAGCGCCAATGGGTACCGGCATGACACTGATGATGAAGTTGGTCGCGTTTCTGAAGGCTGGATGTGTCGCACTATTTGCCACCGGCCATGCATGGCCAGCATTCCAACTGTCTAATGTTAGACTCAATACTTCAGGGGCGAAAGTCAAGGCAAGGTACTCACAAATGTCCCACCATGAAACCAGATAGGCCTTCTCGGGGAGTGGCAACAGTCCTGAAAGCATCAACGATCTGGTCGTTCCGCTTCTCAACATCAGTGTGGCTGAACATCCAACCGCCAGTCAAGGCGTTGGTGCCAGCTTGTTCGTCGTGGAAAAGATCCGTGTAAAGGGCGAAGAATGAGCCGAAGCCTTTGGTGGAAGACTCAAAGGGGACGTTGCTGGCCTTGAGCTCGTCAAGCATAGGCTTGATGATTGCATCGAGTTCCCCTTGCGTCTTCCCAAACGCCACAAACGGTTGCACATTGAGCATCATCGGACCGAGCTCCCAGTAAACGTACAAACCACTGTCGACGAAATGGTTAGACCATTTGTGGAACACGCGAATTCCCTCCCAGAAAGTTGTCTCGTTGACTCCGCTGGTTCCATTGATATACAAAACCCCTCCGGCTGCCTTTTCCTCGGGGTACGTCCGGAACGTCACTGATGTCACGACGGCGTACGAAGAAGGCCCGCCGCCCTTGAGGCCGTAGAAGAGATCGGGATTCTCGTCAGCGTTGGCGGTGACGTAATCGCCTTCGGCGGTGATGGCCTCGAACTCGAGTGCGTTGTCGGCAGTCATGCCGTGCAGTGTCGTCAGAGGGCCGTGGCCTCCTCCGGCAACGAGACCTCCGGCGACGCCTACGGTGGGGCACTCACCGGTGACGACGACGACGGGAGGATCTTGGGCATTGGCTGCCCTCAGCAGGGCGCGGCCTTGGACTCCGGCGCCGAGCGTGACAGCGCTGCCGGAGTAGTCACCGGGACCGGTCCATTGCCCGGTAAAAGTGATGTCCTGGAAACTATGAGTGTTGATGATGAGGGCGCCCCAACCGGTACTACGTCCGATGAAGTCGTGGCCCGTGTTGCGGATGATGAGGCGGAGGTTGTTGTCCCTGGCAAAATCGATACCGGCTTTGATGTGTTCCTTCTTGGTCGCCCCAATAACATAGACACCATAGTTGCCTAGCGTACAAGGCTCTTCGGGGTTTTCGGTAGGCTGACATGTTGCGTTGGTGAAGTACTTCCACAGGTTAAGACCCAGTTGATCCGTTCTTGGACGAGAATCAGCTCTTTAGTTCTCTGCTTTCCATGTGACAGCGAACACGATAAACGGAGTTGACCTACGACCATTGCTCATCCGAGTAGATAGCAGTAAGCTCAGCACACTTTGCCGCATCGTATGTTTGGATTGTGCCGAGGGTGCCGTTGAAGGTGTTGTGGCAGACAGCTTCGGGAGGGATGTGAGCATGCAAGTTTCCTTCGACCGTCGTATTGAGCTGGTTCCAGTCATTAGACTTGGGCCAGCATGTATCGCCAAAGTAGCATTTGCAGCCATACTGCTTCCCTTGCCACCTACGGGGCACCAGCTCGGCGGCGAAGACGCCTTGGGTGACTGCCGCCAGGCTGAGCAAGATTGTTGAAAATTGAACCATGGCGACAACTAGTCCTTGAAGAGTCCGGATGACCTTGAGTAACGCCTCATTCACCAGAAGCCAACGGTCAGAAGACCTCATTTATAATCATCAGAACTGACCGGGGTCTGGCTTCTATACACAGCGTGAGGTCTTGGAGCCCCGACTTTCCCCTCCTTCCCATGCTCATCTTTCGGCTCCATCTCTTGCCTCCCTTTGGCTCAGGCTCAAGTCCTAGTGCTGCCAAGGTGCAGGCTGCTTTCGAGAATGCGACTCAATCTATTAACCTAGTTTAGGTTGCAATGCTCAGCTCGCCCCCGCTAGCAACCAAATGAGACTTACGCCGCTCGGGCTATACCCTCCTGCTAAAGTCTTGCCCGGTTCGTCTGATGCTCAAGAGTGATATGCATGCACGTCGGGCCAAGTTTCGTGATACATCATTTCAAGTAGACTTGCGTGCATCAAATATCCATGCTTGGTAATGATTAGATATGCTATCACGCACAGAACAGAGGTGGTGCTGCCGGAAACAATCACCAGAGCATTTCCGCATGGAAGGGCATGTGCAGTTACATGTAGCCAAGGAAGCGAACCAAGCATCTCAAGTTTCTTGAGCGATATGTCCCACATTATCAATATACGCTAGACAACAAGGAATCGTAGGAATTGGACGATGTAAAAGGCAAACAAGGCTGTCTTCACCCACACAGCCCACAGCGGGTAAGGAGCGGTTCCCGAGGGCGGCGTTGGACGGCCCCAGGACCTGACAGGTTCATATTAAAGATTGCCCTCGATTTAACGAATAAAAGAGAGAATCTTTATTAGCGCTGACAGCTAAACCTGCACAACAAGGCGGGGTGTTTTGCCGGTAGATGCAACCGAGTGGGATCCCCGACGGCTGATGGAGCTATCCCCGAATGGACTTCAGGCCCGATGCAGCAAGTGACTCCAAAATTCCAGGGTGTGCTGTAATTTTGAATGAGCTTTCTTTGCGGACATAAGGAATTGAGTTGGAACTTGAGTGGACATAGTTTAATTCGAGGCTTATATCGTGAAGTCTCCCTCCGGCTTGGTCTGTGGTTGTATTAAAGCTGGGGCAGAGTTCTGTCAGCCATCTCTTGTCTGTAGGCTTAGCTATGAGACCTTTTTGGATCAAGCTGTCGAGGTCACATTGACCCGTCGTAACCCAAAAAAGCCAAGACCTTGGGAGCAGGGTTTCGGAGCCGACAACGATCTTTCACCGAGAAAGAGGACTCTCGCGATATTTTAGGGACCCACGCAAAGCTGTGATAAGCAAAGGCACTGTGCCGACTTGGCACAGCGTGCCGCATCCGCAAGCCGCATGTGCACATTGGGGCAGCGAAGGCTTTTCGCTTGTAGCTTTGGAGTAAATGAAAGGCTAATGGTTTGACGCAAAGCGCGTCGTCTTCTCTCTTCACCATCGGTAATGGATGAGTGAGAAGAAATCAGGGTGTCCGCGAACAGCAACACACGGCTCAAGAAACGGTCTGCCCAATGGGTTGATCTTTCGCTCGGATACGACAAGGAATGACAAAGGCCACTTATGTTTGTCAACTTGTTTTTGTCAACTTGTGTTGTCAACTCAATTTTTCCGGCTTTAGAAGTAAGATACAGTTTGATTCGCTGTTGATCCACAATGCGACGATTTTGTCGGATTGGAAGTCCAATTCGACCTCGACGTAAGCCTGCCCGCGCAGGGGCCAATTACGGCCCCTACTTACGATTACCGCAGCCTGCCCAACCTACGGTTGGAACTTCCTTTTTACACCTATGCAGAAGATCATATAGTTAAATGGACCTCTTCGTCAACCCACGGTTCGAACCAATTATCCTGTGATACGGATACCAACAGATTTCCCGTCTATTCAGCACAGCTGTCTGAGCAAAGACATGGGTGCCGAGCGTCAGCACTAGCGATGTCTCTTCCCGAAATGGAATCTCTCATAGAATGTCTTTACCACCAAAGCTTATTCTCACGTCTTGAGTGTTACAAAGCGGGGGCGTCCAGGGCGTTTAGTTATTTCTTGAACTGGTTGTGAGTATCACACGTAAGGTGCTAACTGCCACCCTTTCCTGCAGATAAAGACAAGCTCGTGGAAGTACGAACTGATTGGACACGTTCATCGATTCCCTCGAAAAAGGATTTGAAACAAACCCAAGAACCTGTTACCTCCTAACGATCTTAGCTGGCATCCCTTCCTTAGGATGAGCGGTGATCTGTGTTCCTGTCATCCACTGGAAACCTTTCTCCCCAAAAACCTCTGGCGCGTCCTCGGGAAATTGCGGCACAACTTCAAGCTCTCTCACAGTCAACGCCAAGATGAGTCGCATCTCAACGAAAGCCAGCTCCTGGCCAATACAATTTCTAGGACCCAGCTCAAAGGGTCGGAATGCACTCTTCACTGGGTGAAGAGGATCGCCCTCCTTGACTAGCCATCTCTCAGGAATGACTGTGTCAGGTTCTGGCCAAAGCGTGTCCCATCTGTGCATCGCTTGCGATGCCACGAACATCATGAACCCGTCGGTGGGGAATCGCTCGCCTGTTTCCGGATCGGTGATAAACACATCGGGAGCTCCCTGTCGTACCGTCCCGACTGGTG